GGACTTAAAACTATAGACAAATAAAGTAGTAAAGGTGATAAGTGCTTTCCTTGAAAAACCCTTTTCTTAGTACAATCTCAAAAGTATTTTTAAAAATTACTATCATTGAGTCCTAATATTATAATACATTTCAAGTTTATAAATTTCATAATAGACAATAATAATTTATGAAATAATGAGATGTTTTAAATTATTTATTTGACTTTCATAATGTTATAGCATCCAGAGAAAAAAATTAATTTAATGTATGGCAGGCAACTTTTGAAACATTTTTTGTAAAGATGTAATGGAGGTAGTTTGTTTGTAAAATTTATAAATGTAATGTATACCGTATACTGTAATGTATATATAATTGAAAATACTAAGTTTATATAATCATACGAGGAAAAATAAAATTTATATTTGTATTTGAAATAGCAATTATAGGCTACAATGCATTATAAAATATACCAATATAAATACAATACACTTCGGTCAACAATAACAACCAATAATGACAATAACGCTTTCGGTATCAAGTTAAATAATAACTCGAAAACCTTAAGCAGTCATTTACTTGTGTTATCGTTTTTCGTTACTTATTTGTGTGATAATACATTTCTAAGCTAAAAATTATAAAAATTATCTCCGCAATAGGATCAGCCGAGAAAAACTTTCTGGGTTGTCTAATATATCTATTGAAAAGAAAATATTGGATACAATAGATTATGATAACATAATAAATGACTTTGCTGCAGCAAAATCTAGAAAAAAATAATGTAAATTATCTTGTTAACATGTACACATTTTATATATTTTATTATAATTTAATTTACACACATTGACACATTAATATATAAATATATATTATTTTATGTAGCTAACTATTTCGTTTTAATTTTATAACTTTAAATACCTAGTTAAATAACTATATTTTTTTTGTTTTGTATGATTTCTTTTGCTATAAGATTCATTGCTTTTTAAAACCAATTATATTCAATAAGTGATAATTAATTATTTTAAAAATATACTTTATTGTGAATCTAATATATAATATTTAAAATAAATAAGTGGTAGAATCAATAAAATTATAATAAAAAAATATATTAATTTTAATAAGTATCTTTTAATTTTAATAATATCTTATAAATTGCATCTAAAATAATAAATCGTCAATTAGGAATAATACAATATATCACTACTGTTAACTGGTAATTTGTATCTGAAAAGTGTCTAAAGTTTGTCAGCTATCATATAAAACAAAATATTAAGTTAAGTATTTACCATTTAGTTCCATAATCATCATCAAGGGACCCAAAGAAATATTGCCCAGGACCCCAAAATTTGTAGTGCCGTCACTAACTCTTTATATAATATATATCTTGTTATAACAAATCAATATTTAAATAGTCTTATACTTAATTTTTGTAAATTAAACATTTTGAAGAAGCAAAAGTAAAAAGCAAGTATTGGTTTTGTGTAAATTCCTGTTTTATTTGTTGTTCTTCCAGATTATTTTGAGTGCTGGACATTTTTTACTTTTGACTTCGCAAATTACCTACTAGATCCAATTTATTACCAGAAACCACGCAAAGTTACCTTTATGTCTTATAATATGTCGACTGATATTGATATTAAAAATAAAATAATTAGATGTGAACTGTTGAAAATAAACTTGTTGTTAGGTTTAATAAATGTGAATATTACATCATCTTTCTGATAAAAAAGATCAATTAAAAATAATAGGGATTATGTTTTATTTGTTATTCATAAATTCACAAGGTATCTAGACACCAACTATTAATCAGGTAGAGGAATCGGAAAAAAACAATAAATAATTTTAAAGGTATAAGTAGGTAATAGGTAGGTACTCAAGGTCAGGATGATACATTATAATGATATGACGTGCTGATCTAGTATCAATAACAACCACCATAATATTACGAGAAGACTGTAATAGACCATAGTTGTAATTGATTTGAGGTTTATATCAAATTTCAATATAAATGCAACAATGTAATCAGATGCTTTGGATATTACTATTTAGTATTAGAGATTTCAATTTTATGATTTTTAAATATATATTTATTGCCAATAATAGAATTACTTTTACACATAAGATCAAGTTAACATCAAATTATATGGACTATTAGCAATAGCAATCATCTCATAGCAATCATCATGGGCTAGAGCTTGATTCTGATGTGTTATATAGCCGTATTTTAGTAAATATTTATAACTTTTTATGTGAAAAATATGGGAGTTGTTATACACTATACAATATTTATGATTTTTATGCATTTTAACTAACAAAAAAAAATTAATAAATAAATTAATAATTTTTACATATTTTTATTGGTTCAAGTAATTTATCAAGTATTAAATATTCTTAATACCTATACCTTTTCACTTACTTAAGTTTTTTTTTATTAACCTTGTTCCTAATATTTTGTAATTCTAATTTATTGTAATAAAAATAAAATAATTCAACAGAAATTAATATTTAGATATAGGTTAGGTTAGGTTAAATGTGTTACTTTTTACAATTTAATATTGTGAATAAAAAAATAATAATGATACTAATAATATAACAATATTATATATTTATAAATTTAATAAAAAAAAAGCTGCTCTGCTGTACAGTAGGTTCCAAGTGGGTCACTGTATAATGGATGGTATTAAATTTGAATTCAATGAAGTAATATCATTGTATAAGAAAAACAATTCTGAGCGGAGACGGTATGTCAGTCTAGGTATAGGATATATTATGTACCTACTTATCTATAGTATTCAAAAAAAAATGACCTATAATAATTAGCCTATAATAAATTCCAAATTAATCATATCACAATATCCATTAGGTACTTATAACGCGTTATACATCAACAACAAACCCTGATACTATCATAGATATATAAATATAATAGTGTACTTTAGAAGTTTCAAGTACCAAGTTTCAAATAATACTATACAATCACAACAAAATAACTAAAATAGTTACTCTAGGTTTTTTATTATGTAATTTCGTAAAAATTTGAACTTAAAATAACTAAAAAAAACTGTCATTCTGTATTTTTTAGATTTTTTTTAACAGAATTAACTAGTTAAGTTGAATCTTGTTTTAAATTTTAAATCCTTAGCTATAAAAACTGAACATTTTATAATTTATTAATTACAATGATTGATAATTTTCAAGATTTTATTTTGTCAAAATTCTAACTTTAAATGCTTATAATAAAAATGTGTACCTATATATTTTTAATATTTTTCAATTGCTATTGTAACAATATATCAGGAGCTTTGTATTAAATTTTTACACTTTTAGGCCCAACAGTTAAAACTTTATTGATATTTGTAGAAAAAAAAAATAAAAAAATTGAAAACTGAAAATCTACAGACAAACGCTCATAAAAATTTAATTTGACTTTCCGGTAGAGATTTTTTTATTGACAAAGGTAGACAAACTTATGAGTAATCTTGTATTATATTTTCAAATGAAAAGAAAAATTTTTACGAATTCTTAACTCAAAATAATTTGCTAATTTTTCCATATTTTGACAATTTTTGAACATTTAATGCTTATAAAAAAAAACTGTGACTAAGGATTTTTAATATTTTCATCTGCCTTTGAAACAATATACTAGGAGCCTTCTATTAAATTTTCAAGTATTTTTACTCAACAAATAAAATTTTATTGATATTCATAAAACAAAAAACTAATAAAATTGGAAACTGAAAATGTCCCTAAACAGTTCAAAATAAATCAAAATATTTTTAAAATGTTATAGTGTAACGTGTATTCGTGCAAATATAAACAACCAGTGAAAATTTAATGGATCTACGGTCATTTGTTTTAAAGTTACACCAAAAACCAAATTCGATTTTGAGTAAAAATTCCTGTTTTTCCCTAATTTTTCTTTTGTTTTTTTGGGGCGCTTTTGAAAATTACTGGGAATTTTAAATTTTGACCTGCTATATTTCACTTTCCAATCAAACAAGATACTGAAGTTGAAAATCGAAGCATTATTTCGACTACTTATCGTGTACACAGACACAAATAAAAAAAAAAAATAAAAAAAAAATACACATCATTGTAAAATCAATACATTCATCGTTCCACTCAGAATCTAAAATTAACATTAAATATTTTTAAATGATAATATTTAAGAAAGTCATTGTCGGTATGTAAGATTTTGTTCAATTTTAAATTTAATAAAATATATAAAATAAAATAATTTTAACTAAAGAAATTAGGCTTAAATTATATTTTTTAGTAGAACTTATAATATAGTGCAGCAAAGTAGTATAAATATTTAGAAGTTTAAGATGCAATTGACAATTTTTATTTAGGTACTACTAACCTCTGGTGCCATCCAATAAGGTGTTCCTACTGAAGTGTCACGTCGCCCCATTGTAGCTCCTAAATGTGAAGAAACTCCAAAGTCGACTAATTTCACTTGTCCATCTTCAGTCAAAAGAATATTATGTCCTTTTACATCACGATGCATACAGTGATTACGATGTAAGAATGCTAGAGCCTTATGAAACAAAATAAACATAATAACTATATTATAGATTATAAAAATTAGGTAATATTTAATAAGTGAATGAACTATAAAAATGATCTTGAATCAACCAAATTTACCTGTAAAGTTTCATGTAAAATATACGCAATTTGATCTTCGGTTAATTGTTTTCCTTGGGCTTTTAGCCCATGCACCAAATCGGTCACCGATCCTCCTTGACATAGCTAAAACCAAGTTTAAAAATAATATAATTGCTTTTGTATTAGTTAAATGTATTAAATTAAAGTACATCCACATTTTTGCATTAAAAAGTTGTAGTATAATATCTTGATTATAACTTATATTATAAATATACTTATTTTACCTTAAATTATATTTACCTACAGAAATATGTTGAAATCGATACATATACATATCTAATGTTTTGTTTTTATCATAATAAATTAATGGTGATAAATCAATCAGGTACAACCTTTGGATCGTTACATTTAACATCATTATAATAAATTGTCAATTAACTTTAACCCACTAAACTGAAATAAGAGAATGATATTTCTAATGTAAGATCAAATTTATTTTGTTAAATCAGTAGGTATAAAGTGATATAGGTACCTTATACATATTTGAAATATCTAATTGTAAAACTAAGTAGGTACCTATCTGAACATAATAAAATAGATAATATTCGTGGAATATTCTTATATTTCAATTAGGTAGGTTTACATTGTAATATTAACTAAAATATTTAAATTTGCTATTGATTACTATTTAGTAAATAGCATATTATACTATTTATTAGTATATAATATATATGTAATTAGGGAATAAACATATTATAATTTAGGAACCTAATTTAATTATATATTCAATAAAACTTAATAATAAAAGTAATAGTTTAATATGATAATGATACATATATATATATGCATGTCAAAATAGATAGGTATGTCAATATATTAGAAAATGTATGATACACATCTGGATCATGCACCACCACATGCCCTATTTATCATAGTTATCTGCTTCCATATAACAATAATGACGATCAATGAAATGTGGAGAATTATGAGTACAGAGATGGTATCAAAAATAGTTGCATGTGCTAACCGGACAAAAACTGGGATTTTGCTAACATAGCTATCATACATATCTATTTTGTCACGAGCATATGGTAGAAGGTTATTTATTCCAAATTAAGCCCCTTATTACCTATATCACATAGTAACACATTACTTTAGTTATCAGTCAAACTGACAAAAGTAATATAATTGTTTTACTGAATATAGATATAGATTTGTATATTGGTTTCTAAAAATTATATTTGATAAAGTTAGGTAATGTGTAAAAAAATAAAAATGTACACACATTTTTAACTATACTCAGTTCAGGTTAAGATAGAACCGCTCGCTCGACGGGGGTCAGGTACGGTTCAGTGTCTCAGTCTGCATGCGCGACACGGTTCAATCTTAACCTGAAATGAGTATAATAATGAAGTTGGTACCTTCCTAATTTTATATTTACCTATATAAAAGCCTATTCAACCACTACATTTTTTTTATATATTATTATGGTAGGTACCTCCTATAGGCTTTAGTTACTCTATTCCCCGTAAGTTTATCCACATTTTATTTGAGCATGCAGAGTATGGTGAAAACGATGTGACAATACAGTTTACTATGTATACACCAAGGTATTTGAAGCTGTAGAACTACAGTGAACTGTACTGTCTCAATGTTTTCACCATCCTCTGTGTACGCAAAAAAAAGTGGGTTAACTTATGGGGAAGAGAGTATATACATAGCTAAAACCAAGTGTGTAGGTACTCAAAATAAGCCTTACCTCCATAACAAACCATAATTGATCATTGAGTTGTTTAGAACCTTTAACAAAATAGATTCCATGAAATGAAGGAATGTTTGGATGCAGACTGAGGTCTCTCAATGCCAAGTATTCATCTTCAATTTCTTCTTCATTACCCGTAATATCTTCTAATATTTTAATGGCGACAAACTCTCCTATACAAAAAAAAATAAATTCAGTACATTAACGTTTCTAAATTGGATATTGCGTCTGTTTGAAAATAAGGTACCTACAGTAAGGTTAAATATTGCATACACCCATGGTATGATATTGTGTAAATACTAATACTATGTACTGTGGTGTGCAGTGGGCAGATGAGAATAATATGTAGGTATGCTTTGCTACCCTCAGAATTTTGTTACATTATTTTATCTATTGTTATGTATAAGATGAAATGTTTTTCTAAAATAGATAGGTATGAGATAAAAAAAAAAAATTAATAATATAATAATTGTTCTGTGTTACCTATTATTGAATCTAAATATTGTATAGGTATAATGTGACTTACGTCACTTTAGGTACCTACAGTATGTACTTTACATATTATATTATACATGAAAAATCAATCGTATATAAACAGGGAAATACCATGACCAGCATGACCCAAAACTATTGTGAATCATTTAGAGCGTTTTCCACATTACCGCACTGGTGCCATAGACCTTATACGAGAGCTCAAGGGAGCTCGCTCAAACTAAGCCCATGTCTATTAGTATAAGGTCTATGGCACCAGTGCGGTATGGTGGAAAATGCTATTAGGTACCCTACCTATTTATTCTATTTACAAAACAAAAAAAAATTAAAATGTTGATTTAGAATTAGTAATTTAACTAATAGGTGTCTGCCATTCAGAGACGGATTTACACAATTGCCGCCCCTAGGCAATTTTTTTTTTTGCCGCCCCATTAAACGAATTTTTAAATACTCATTTAACAATTATTAACATAAGTACTAAAAAAATGAATCATAAAGACTGATACTAAACAATAATTAATGGCAGTTATGTTAATAAACTGTTCTAATAAAATGTGTTTATAAAATATAGTGTTTATTTACCAGTAATTTAAGTAGGTAGTATACTAATAACCAAATATGAAGTCTATCCGCCTTGAATGTTGTGTTGAAAATAATCGAATGTCTAATCAGAATAAACCTATTTTTTACTCGGCCGCCCTCTATTTCATAGTTCCGAAGAAAAATAAACAATTATTACATAATTTTATCTTTTGGATAGAAAAAGTTTTACTTTTACATAATGCATAGTACGTACGAGTATATTATATAAAAATATTCACAGTGACTGGCTTATAATTAGACTATCGTCACCCTTATTCGTATTAAACATATCATATCTGTATGTATTGTGCGTGTAGTGTTTAGTATTTAGATAATAGATCTACGTTCCGGCAGTCGTTCGATAATTTACTTGGACGTTTATTGTTATGTATTATAAAATAAAGAAGAAATTATATTAACAAGAATATTATTATACTTAAATATTAAACTTTTTTTTCCATCCTTCAGAGTAATCACCGTACATTAGAAAATCAAAAAGAAACTTAGAGTATTCTCAATAAAATATTGGCCTAAAATTGCCGCCCCTAAAAATTTGCCGCCCTAGGCAACTGCCTACTTTGCCTGACGCTAAATCCGCCACTGCTGCCATTATACATTTTTATGTTATATTAATTTTATTATTAGGTACTTACAGAGTCCGCCGTAAGGCGTAGCGAGGCCTCAAAATATAATTTTTTATAACGTGAAGCCCAAATTGTCATACAAATACCCGAGGCCACGCTGACCCCTACTTAAGACCGGGTTTGATTAAGTATATATTAATATAATACATTGTATAAATATAAATTTAACGCCGTAGACATCACCTGAAATTCAGGTTGGCGCATTCTTGACTACCTACCTATATTCTATCATAATTTATTGATTTAGGTAAACAATTACCAGTGGTTGTGTCTTTAGCTCGGAACACTTCGCCGTAGGTGCCTTCGCCGATGAGCTCATCAATAGTGAACCGGCCATCGGGACTGGGCACCGAGTTCAAGCCAAACCGCTGACACATTCTGTAATAGTCCATCGCGGTATCCGCTGCAACGGACGACAATCATTTAGTACAACGGATCAGCGTATGCTACGAGGCCGGCGGAATACAATGACGACTACAAATGGCGATTTAAACGAGAGCCATTGACAGTAAAAACATTAACGATACATTAAAATATATAATATAATATAAATATTTTAGTAAGCAGCTACAACTGGTGTTATTGGTGATTTACAGCCGGAGGCCGAAGAGTCGCGGCAGTTAATTTATCACGAGCGTCAGTAACAACTAAAGTGCTTTACAATAGGAAAATAAATATTAAATATATCATAATTATTATCAGACGAAAACGGATTAGTGATTACCCACGACATTATTATTATTATTATTAATGTAACTGTTAGCGCGTATGTGTGCGTACGACGGTCCCGCGTGTTTAATATTATTGTATCAACAGGAGGTTTTGAGGGGATATTGTAAACAAAAATCACCTGGCCACCGCGGCTGGTCTGACTGGTGTGTGTGCGCGCCGTGTGCCCGTGTGCGTATGCCGTGTGTTTTAAGTGCGTACAACACTCGGTACGTCGGTACGAGTGTTTGTACGACCTCGCGCAGACCCGCAGTCGCGCGCTCGCGATGCACATCACAGAAATCGTTGGCGCGGAACGCATTACAGTGATGCCATTGCGCCGCGAGCGCCGGAAGTGCATTGTACGCGTTTTTGTTTTTGTTTTTGTTTTTTCACCGCGAATCTCACATACCTACAATATAGCCATAGGTATATTATTGTTTATTACAATACCAGCAGCCTGTAGTCTGTACATGCATCTAGTTTTTATACAGAATGTGATTTTGGTTGTTGTACAGGAATCGAGCAATATATCACACGATAGTTGTCTCCAATCTCCATAAACATGTTTTGTAGTTTTTTTTTAATGTGTCGAACGTTTTTAACTAGATATGGTCTAAAATATTCTACACTTCTGATACTTGCCCACAGTAGCGAAACCGGTTATCTGAAAAACCGGTTAAAACCGCAATTTTTCATATTTCAACACCGTAACCGTAACCGGAACCGAAACCAGAAGCTTTAAAATCCTGGTTAATAAACAGTAACTGAAACCTAAAATCTTAAAAAACCGTTCTTGAAACCGATTGGAATTTAATAGTTAATAGTAAATAGATAGTACAAATCGGGTCTGCAGTTATTAGGTAAATGAACAATTTTTTTTCAAAAACCAAAATCGAAAATTTTCAAAAACCGTTCGTGATACCGATAAATTTGAAAAACCAAAAATTTTTAAAAACCGATCTTAGAACCTAAACCAAACCATAAAATGTAGAAAACCGTTCTCAAAAACCGAAACCGTAATCGTTAAAATTTGGAACGGTTTCGATCTCTGCTTGCCCATAATAAAATAGTATTATCTATTCAGCGTCGACTTCCGATTTTCAGACGTTTAATTTAAATTGACGATAATAACATATTATGAAAAATTTCGATTAGGTATGTGTCTATATAGGAGAATCTATGGTTAATTCAACCACAGTCTACGAATTATAATCTAGGTACATAAATATTTAAGCAAGGAGCCAGGAGGATGTAGAGAAGAATATTCTAAGACCATGTATAATGTACACTGTACTACCTAGTATCTACTCTCTACTTCATCAGTTTCAAACCTTGACATTTAAAACATTCAATAAATATTAATGTCCTACAATATAATCTAGTACCTATTCAGTAGATAGGTCCTAGATGATTAATTAACTGTGTAGATTTACCTACTTTGTGCGTTTAAATTATCAGAAAAATGCACTCTTTCTGGAATTTAAAAGTTAAAACTAAAACTACCTATAGTTACTTATGTATATAAGTTTCCAACGCATATTAAAATTGAAAGTTGTTAAACTTTTGACCTAAATCAAAATATAAAGGAGTCTGGAAGTGGCAACATAATATTTATGAATAAAATATTATAAGTCAATATAGGTACTAACTAATATCCAATAGAATATACTTGTTATTATACCTAAGTGTTTTAAAGTTATCAAAAAAAATAATCAAAAAGGCCAGTTCCAGAGATATTATTCCTCTCAAAATTCAAATTAGCTATATAATACTCATAACAATATTAAATTATAATAGTAGATAAAAGTCACTATCACCATTCATATTACGACACCAGTGTAGCGTTGTTTTACCTACGCAAACTATCAAAATTCTCACGGCATGGTTTCGTTTTGACGAACTTTTGTCCTTAATGACTCGACGGTGGTAATTTTTTTTTGTTCTCAATTCCAATTAAGAACAAACCTCTTTTTTCTGACATTATATATGTTAGATGCATAAATAATATATTAGATAATGTTACCAAACGAGGGTACCTAATAATTAATATACCTAGTTGTGGGCGTTGTGGCGTATTGGTAGATTTTAAATGGTTATTGGTGTGGGGTGTTCATAAAAAATGATATATGTATAGTAAAAATAAATATTTGTAAACAACATATTTTGGTATTTCTAATGTCTATACTATATATATATGTATAATCAGCCATCTGGTGTACAATGCAATTATTCAGCAAAACACATATCACTGGACACTAATAACCCACTTGAAAAAGTTCAATAAATATTAAACATTTATTCCTACTTTTAACTTTTAAGTCTTAACTCGAAAGGGTACAATTCAATTCCATTAGTACTATAATAGAGGTAATTTAAATTTTAAATGTTCAAAATCGGAATGGTTTAAATAGTTTAAATATAATGAACAAAAATAACGAAACGTAACTCGTAATGTACCTGTTCACACATACCTACCTCATAATATTATATAATTACCTAAATATCTTAAGTCTTAACCAATATAATTTGAATATAGTAAAAATTATATTTAAAAATTCACGATTGATTGTGAAATGTTTAATGTGTCCAAGCTCAAAATTAAATATCTGAATTATGTATTTGACTATACATCATAATAATTGTATAAAAATAAAATATTATCGAATTTGTTGGAGTTTAAGTTTCTATAGCCTTTCACTAATAGTCAGTAACTAAAAATTATAGATGCATTTATAAAAACTTATGCTTATACTAACTTTTTACTTGATTATTGTTTTAAATTTGTTCTTAGTTATAAAATAGGATTTTATAGTTATATCACCGATCCAGTGTTCGGATTAGATAAGTATTTTTTTATCTAGATAAAGATAAAGATAATGAAGCTCAAATGTATCTAGTTAGATATAAAAGATAACCTAACTCATATTTATCTAGATAAATATAAAAATAATGCAACTCAAATGTATCTAGATAGATATAAATGATAACTTATCTCATATTTATCTAGATAAAGATAAAGATAAATACTTTATATAAATAAAAAAAAAAGATACATATTTTTTTAAATGGTTTTAAATTAGGTATATTTTAGTTGGGCACTAGGAACCTAATAATAATAATGATATAAATAAAAATAATTACATTATTTATAAACCATAAACTTTGTTTGAGAATTTGTATGAATATTTAAAAATTCGTTTGTACAATTTCGCGATTTTTATCAATAAAAAATGTATCTAGATGAATTTATTTAGATTAGTAAACAAATTATCTAAGATGAACTTTTAGATAATTTGTAAGTATTTATCTAGATAAGATAAAATATGAACAAATAATTATCTAGATATTCATCTTGATACATTTATCTATAGATAAGTCCGCACACTGGACTCATCGGTTCCTATATAAAATATACTGGTAATATTAAGAACGATGTACATACCAATATTCGATGAGTTCATTGTAATAACTTATAAGTACCTTATACCTATCACTTAACGTTTTTATATGTAATATTCGATTATAATTATATTTTTAAATAATTATTCGAAATATTAAAACATTTTCAAAAATGAAATCACGTAATCCTAAATTAAAATAGAATATCTAATTATTATTATTATAAAGATTTCATTTTTTATTAACACCGTAGGTAAAGCAAAAATAAATATAATATATATACTTTTAATGTGCACAATATTAATGAATTCAATGCGTTGGTCAATTTTTAAAATACTTTATACTCACAACTCTGAAGCACATCGACGTATGCCATGCCACTGGGTATTCATTGATTTTGCAGAAGTATATAATAATCTTAGTTCATCAGAATATTATCACTATCCGTTTATAATTAGGTACCTAGAATGTTAAATAACACTCGTATAAATGTATAATACAGAAGTTCGGGTGAATCATTAAAATAAAATTCAAATTTCAAATATAACTATATGTTGTCATGTTGATATTTTAAAAGCTGTCGATAAAATTATAAATAGGATAATGACAATAAAAATTAAAATGACCCAATAAATTCACTGTTGTTGTTGTTGAAATTCACCATTATAATATTATTTGATAGGTACCTACATTGCCGAGTACCGACGTCCTCTGTGGGCTGTGGCTCCATCCATAAACCATATACACTATAGATTCAATGGTATTAGTATAAAATATTCTAAACAAAATATAAAACAATAATGATTACTTTATTTCAATGTAAAATTTCACTATAAAAGGTTAACTTTGCAAAGTCCATACTGAAAAAGTTTTGTATGGAAAAACATTCAGACTGTTGTAAACCGTAGCCTGTTTATTAAATTATCGTCAGTTACAAGGCTGCACTTCTATAAGAGGCTTATTGTACCTAAATACCAACACGCCATGTCAATCATAGTGGTCTGTTCTTTTTAAAATAATTCCAGAAAAATGAAATTTATAGGTATTTGTATATATAAAAAGTTTAGAACCAAATGGGTTGAAACTATAATAGTTATAGGAGCACTTATAGATAATAATTATTATAGAGTTACATTCCTACATAATAATGCGCACCATGGAAGGTAATTAAAACTGGTCTTGTGAAATGTTTTTCTTATCATCGCCCTCTATCGTTAATAATTACACTCCATGGGCCCAACACAAATATATTATATCATATACCTATTCACATAATCCGATT